CGGGAAGGTAGTGATGAAAATGACGATTATTACGGGTTTACTGATAAATCATTATGTCTGCTATGCAAGTTAGATCATGATGATGAAAATGGTATAGAAGGCAGATATGAAACTGGATCTTATAATCTTAAATATGAACAGCATGGGATTGAAATTGAGGTAACAGCATAAACTTGATTTTATACCCTGCTTTCTCGCAATACTTGCTCAAAGCCAGATATAGTTAGTTAACAGATTTCTAAATATATTAGTTAACTATATATATCTTTTTTCGAGCTTGTGAGGAAAAAAGTCTCTGAGGTATATTTATTTTTTGTTGGCTGATGTTAATTTAAAGGGATGTGCGATCATATAAAACGGCAACATGACAAAGTCTAATAAAACATCAACTCCCGAATATTTAGAGTGGGAGGCTAAATTAACTGATTTGCTAACTATTATATCTGATAAGCATCGTTTCAAGTTATATAAAAGATATAAGAAAAAACTGGAAAAGATCCTTGGCAATACATTGATTCTTCACAGGATAGTATTATTAAGATTTCTAAATTTTCAGAAGAAAAAGGTATAATTATTGAAACAGTACATAACGCTTCCCTTATTTGACATATTCTAATTCAATTACATGTTATTGCAATTTGTTTAAATATACCGATTCAGATGCTAAATGTCCAATATGCAAAGATGTATATACACATTTAGGTATGTGGGGTGATTGGAGCTGTTCGAGTAAAGATAATCATTATTTTCTTAACTGTCCTTTTCGCTCTGATTAAAAGAAGCTATTAATCACTTTGCAGGCTTAGATAAATGAAAAAGCATTCTTTTTACGTAGTAGATCAGAGTTCGACAAATAGTGTCATTGACACTTAGCACCAAAGGCGCGCCTCAGAAGGCAATTAAAACATCATTACATTTTCCGGTTGAACTAATTTTTTTCCGTGAATTGCTTCACCAAATTCCTTAAACTTATGAGTGAAATCGAAATAACAGTATAAATAACGACCAATACTTATTTACACAATCGCGTAAAAATAAAAAATGGGAGCCCAGCGGACCCCCCTCCCTTTATTATAAAAAATTATAGGGGAATTTACAAATAAGGGCCTGAAAAGTGAAAATAATTACAGATAAGGGCCCAAATTAAAAATAATTACAAATAAGGGCCTGATTTTTGAAAAATATTACATATAGGGGCCCAAATAT